TTATTTCTTTAAAAAAAAAAAAAAAAAAAATTGTCATAATTTACTCATGTTGTCTTTCATGGAAGACTGAAAGAATATTCACGCTCAGGGGCGTAGCCATCATTTCAAAAGTGAGGGGAACAGAAATGACAAATATTGTTGTTATTATTATTATTATTATTATTATTGTCTTTAATTGAGATTTGACTTTTAATTGATTTAAGAAATTCAGGGCCAGATTTACTAAACAGGGCAAATTAGCATTAGAGTGCAATTCCATAAAGCGCCAATGAGAGGGGAAAATTCTGCGTGTGATTTACTGACAATGCGCACATTTAAGAACACAGATGCAGCCAGATCATTTCCATAATGACCGGCGCAAATTACCGCCTGCTTTTTTTTGGGGGGGGGTGTTAAATAATGGCGCAAATACCAGTAATTTGACGAGCGCAAACGTTAGTAAATTACGATTTATTTTAATACTCTCCTCCCATAAATGTTGCGTTTGAAAGGGAAACTCCTACAAATGCATATTCAATAAGGTCAGGCTCAAAAAAAATAACTGAGTCCACACCTTTTCAGCGGGAAATCCTTACTGCGCGTCTTTAGTGAATCCTGACAGTGCTATTTTAACGCTAAAAGACAGTTTGCACTGGCGCAAGCTATTAGTATAGCTGGCCCCAAATACACTGATGGACAATAACAAAGCTTATAGATGACAATTATCTAATAATTTGTATTCTATATTTCCCCCCTATATTTTCCTAATGACAATTTTATGATTGGTTTTTATACTACAAACACTTCTTTCCCATTTTTATAACATAATATATATTATAGTTTCTGTACTAAATAGTATATGAATTAGCATTATTCATACATTTTATTCATTTATTACCTGGAGATGACTTGAAAAACACATATAAACCATATATTGTCGCAATCGTGCGTGTATATTGTCTACATGTTTAATCAGTCAAATCGTTTCTGCTTTATATTCAGCTTAGCTACAGCAATCGCTAGATGCTTTTGTCCACATTAAGGATTTCCTGCAAGTTATTACTTCTATGGGTCTGTTTTGGACTTTCTGTGCAAGAGCGCCCTCAGGCTTCGTGTATGAATGAAACATACACTGCATGAGAGTCTTTAGCGCTCTATAATGTTCACTTTGTGTCATTTTGGATATGAATAAAACGTCAGGTGACATGTAGACTTATTTTCACTGGCCCTAGAATACATGTACGTGAACACACCTGCCCGAAAAAAGTGTGGGGGACTAATTAAAATGTTATTAAAAGTGGGGGGACATGTCCCCCACATCCCCCGCATATTGTACACCCATGTTCACTAGGGGTGTGAACCTACACTGGTCTTACGATTCGGTTCGATTACGATTATCATGTCATCGGTTCGGTTCTATTCGATATCATGATGCATCACGGGTTCACGTACACTGTGCAGACATAGCGAGAATAGCACTGCATGGTTACTGCATGATGATTGAAATTGCGCAAATGGCCTTAAGCTATTACCTAAATAAACTGCGAAAAAAAAAAATTCTAAAACATCATGGACGGAATGATCCTGAGAGCGCTGCATGAGCTCGCGGCGCCATCTGCAGGACAGTTCAAAGCGTTCAAATGAATCAAAGCGCCAAACGCGAGTAGAATCAGCGCTGAAACGTGTGACTCGACCCAGTGACTTTTTATGAATGGCGGTGAGAATTTGAGATTGCTAGTGCTGTCATAAAATTTCCAACGGTTGTGATGTAATTATATAATAGGCTGAAGTCTGACGCGCTACATGTCTGCTGTTACAGTACTGTTTTTATTTTCGATTCACTGTTAGTGCTAGCTGTGCTTGGTTTGAGCCGCTTTAATTTGCATTTGGAAATGCAACATTCGTCATTAGAAACGTTTATAAATCTGTTGTTGTTTACAAAGAGAAGTTTCAGTTTCACAATCCTTCACTTTACTTTAATAATAATAACAATTCTATATACTTTACTATAATATAATATAGTACTTTTTTATAATATATTATATTATATCATTATCATGATTATTAAGTGCTGCTTTTTATTTTTTACAGAACAATAGTACGTATTATTACAATATAAGATATATCTTTTAATGTGCTAAAATATATATTTTTAATAATAAGTGCTGGGGCCATGGCTTGTGGGCGTGACTTGGGGCGTGGTCAGATTTTCCTTCTTTTTTGTCTCTAGCTGATCACATGCCTGATACAATTTTGTTAATAAATACAAGCAGTCAGATATATGAACTAAACCTTTAATTTTACCTGCTCAAAGAAAACATGCTTCTTGAATGTATCAAACATCAAACAAAACTCAAATCTGAGCACAGAAGACAACAGGAGCATTTAGAACAAATACACAAAAGTAAATACTAAATACTTGGCACTGACAGGCGTTAACAGCTCAGGGTGAAAACGGCTGACGTGGTTTCTCAAGTTAGTGGTATTACCCCCTGCATATTTTATTTGTGCGTGACATGATTTACACACAGCGTGTGTCTTCTCCAGGTCGTGCTTACCAGGTTGTTCATTAAAGCCAAAATGGCACAGATGTCGGCTTTTAAAGTAGTTCGAGCATTTTTAATTACTCGCGTCTTGCCTCCCTCCGCCATTGTATGCTACCGCGACAAATGACATTAGAAAAGCATCAGTATGTTATAATCGCTTATGGCCTATTACTAAACCGATACCGAATCGTCCTCGTCTGCATCGCAGTGCATCGTAGAAACGATTAATTTCGACAGCCCTAATGTTCATGCTGCTCTTCCATACACCAAAAACATACAGTGACCAGGCATTGCACCAAAAAAGTTAATAAAAGTAGCATAAAATTAGTCTATACAATTTATGCACTGTATTCTGAGTCTGTATTCTTTTATCTTTGTGTGAGCCCTTTTATGGACTGGCCATCCGTCCAGGATTTAGGTCCAAAATTAAGGAATGGATGTCAGGGCTCTGCAATATCTGTCCTCTTGGATGTTCATTCTATAGAAAAGAGACACATTCAGCTGGATGAACATTCAGATAAACATATCCTTTTGTATTCAACAGAAATAATGTCATAAGATTTGGACGACGTGATGGTAAATTTGAGTTTTCAGTGTTGGTGTAACTGTTCTTTTAAGCATGAGGAAATTCATTAAAGGCAGATATTTGCCATTCAAAATGTCATTCACACAAAGTTCCCCATTACCCATTGGCAGAATTAAGGAAGCGTAGGGTCTCTATGGCAACACAAGCAGCAAAAAACAAAGAATATCCTTTTTATAGATGCTAGAGTTGCCTTGTTTCTCTCATCAGTGTAAAAGGCTCGAGGGGACATACAGTGACTGACAGGATAAGAGAGAGGGAGGGCCCGGGATGGATCTGCTTGTGGGTTTGCTGGTCTGTATGTATGTGTGTGTTTTAGCAGTAGCTTATGTGTTGATGCCTCCGGCCCAATGCATCAGTAGCATCAACCTCAACATCGACTTCACCTGCATGTGCATCTGATCACTTTACATATTTTACTGAGGGCTTTTCACACTAGAGATTTGACATCAGAAACTTGAGTTCATTGTGTTAGTGTGGAAGCGGTGTTGTCAACATTATGTGGACTTTCCCAAGATTAGATCTTAAAAAACTACTTATGTATTCTGGTAAAATAGATTTTTGCAAGCCACATCTGATCAGTTGATTGGCTCAAAAGAAATGTAGGTCACACTTTTATGGGGCTTTGTGCACCAGCCAAGCAACTGCCATTGAAAGGAATGAGAATGCTAATGGATAACTTTCCATCTAGGTATGTGTTGAGAAGATGTTTTTGTTATCTATGACCATCTATGACCCTACCTTACCCTATATTAGACATCATTGGCCAAGACGAACTGTTTGAGTCCTATCTTTACAAGTTTATGATAGGTAGGAAGCATTACAGTGGTGAATTGCTACTCTGAGTGCCAACATAACAACCAGCAGTAAACTTATTTTTTTTCTGTCAATCTCTTACTAGTATGGTCACACTTTATTTTAAGGTCCAAATGTCACTATTATTAAACAATTAAATGCAACTTTTGCCTCAATAAACTCCTAATTTGTTGCTTATTAATAGTTAGTAAGGTAGTTGTTAAGTTTAGGTATTGGGTAGGATTAGGGATGTAGAATATGGTCATGCAGAATATGTGCTTTATAAGTACTAATAAACAGCCAATATGTTAATAAAAGTCATGATAATAAGTAACTAGTTAATAGTGAGAATTGGTCACTACACTAAATTGTTACCACTAATATAAGTTTGTTAGTGAGCAAGCAACAAAAGCGCATCTGACTCTTCACAACAAAAATAAATAAATAAATAACCCTCGTATAGTCATTTATCTCTTTGTTTTTTGTTGCTTTTCATCTTCTTGCTCTTAAAAGCTTGGTGGGGTTTTTTTTTTCATGTCATATTCTTGTTTTGCAGATAACGTTGTGATATTGTTCTCTCTCTTCCTGTTAAGTGGTGATAAGTTGGCTTCTGATGAAAGGCCCGTGTGCTGTTGTGGTGTCAGGCCTGGCCCTGAGCCCAGAGCTCCAGCCACACGCATGCCAACATGCCTGCCAGCCGCAGAGGTCACGGCAAAGCGACTCCCCGCGCTTCCTGCCAGCCGATCCGGTGTCATGTGTCTGCACTCTCTGTTTCTAACACCCTCCTCTCCTGTGTTCTCTTTCATTACAGACCAACAGCAGGTTGAAGCATCTTGAGAAGGAATATAATCAGAAGCTGGCCAAGTCTGCACAGGTAAACACGATTGTTTGAATGTTCTGAGGGAGCTTAAAAGGAAGGAAAAACACTATGTCCTGCTTTTCAGTCCAGATAGATAGATAGATAGATATGCTCATGTGTAATCTGTATTTCTGGAGCAATTCATGCATAATGCACATGCAAATATATGTGCATTAATTCATGTGCATTCCCTCAAACATGTGGGTGTGATGTGGGGTCTTGTTTTTCTTTACCTCTCTTCGCCTGTCTTATTCACACTCTGTGTTGTATGTTTCCAGTTTCTACTGTATGTAGATGTGAGTGTATTTTCGGATGTTGTTTGGGAACTAAAAAGTAGTAGTTTAGCATCACAGAAATACTACATCAGAAATTGTATGACATTATACAGCCTTATAACCAAGTGAGCTGAGCTAATAATTAAAACATCAAAGATGCTCTTCTAGAATGTCCTCTCTCTCAAGTCTGATTCATTTGAGCTAATCTGTTTGTTCATTTCAATGAAACGTTTCAGAAACCAACTAATTTAAGGGGCCGTTTACACGACAACGTTTTCAGCCAAAAACGGGAAACGTTTTATGCGTTTTGCCTGATTGTTTACACGACAACAGCGGTTTGGGGACTGAAAACGCATATTTTTGAAAACGGGTTTCAAAGTGCAAGTTTTTGAAAACGTCACCGTTATCGTTTCCGTGTAAACACCCAATACAGGAATCTTTGAAAACGGTGACGTCATGCGTGTGCGTAGTACGTGTTAGGTATGTAGACATGCGCAGTACGTGTCGATTTTAAAGGCAAGCGCGAACAAACATACACAACAATGGTGGAGTACATGGTACTGTTGTTGCTGCTCAAGAGTTTGCTAACCCTTCTTCAGCAAAGTGTGGATTTACTTCACCAATATTACAACCAACAGAGGAGACGCATCATATACAACATATAATCGTCACTTCCCTACAGGTACTGTTTACTAACAAGGTGACAGTGCCAACTACTGGCCTGGCATACGTAATATAGCGTTTTTGGCCGTTTTTGCGGATATGTGTAAAGTGAATCATTTTTAAAACGTTGTCGCGTTTACGTGAAACTTTTTAAAAACGCAAGGGAAAATTTTTTCTGTTTTTGACTACATCGTTGCCGTGTAAACGTAGCCTAAGTCATCATTCAGTGCAGCAGTGTTCCCAGAAATCGTGTGTGTGTGTGTACAGGTATATATGGTTTATGAGGACACAAATGTTTATAATGACATGGGTACTACAACGTAAACATGGTTTATGAGGACACTTCCTGTGTCCCCGTAAAACAAAAGGCTTAAAAAACATACAAAACGGTGTTTTATGAAATTCAAAAATTGCCAGCAGTTTCCTGTGAGGGGTAGGTTTAGGTGTAGGGTTGGTGTAGGGCAATAGAAAATACAGTTTGTACAGTATAAATCCATTACGCCTATGGAGAGTCCCCGTAAACCACAAATACAAGTGTGTGTGTGTACAGTAAGTTTTTTTTTTTTCAAAGAAAATTAATACTTTAATTCATATTAATTATATTAATACTAAAATAAATTAATACATCGTTACACAAAAAAAACTTTCAAAAAAATGCTATTTTAAACTTTCAATATATTAATAGAAACAGTTAAATTATAATAATATTTCACAATATTACTATTTTTACTGTATTTTAACTACAAAACACAGCATAAGAGCGTAAGATATATATAAAAATTGTACCAACCCCAACATTTTGAATAGTTGTGTACATATGATAGATATATTTATGTAAAATACTGCTGTTAATTACTGATTTCATTCACTTATATTAGTTAGAATTAACATGTTAATTGTGGTATTTTTGTTTAATTTTGTAGTGTGTAGTGTTTTGTAGTGTAGTGTTTGGTGCTGTTGCTTTAAGGCAGGGGTGCCCAATTCCTGCAAAGTTCAGCTCCAACCCTGATCCAACCCTTCCCTGTGTACCGCCAAAGCCACAATGTTAGCATTAGCTGTCACGCATTTTTGGCTAAAGGTTGCAGGCTTGCCTTCCAGTGGCTTTGTCAGGAGTCTTGTTTATTAAAGTGGCGCTGATATAACAGCTAAAATAATAAATAGAAAATAGCTAAATCTCAAATGGTGGATCATTTATATCATTGTTATATATCATCAATGTTAAAGCATTAAGCCATTATAGACATAACAGTAACTCTGTAAAGCTTGAAACAATTGCTTTGAAACAATGTGTATTGTAAAGTGTGCTATACAAATAATACAAGTGCAAGATTCCTTACTAAGAGATGCTGAACAAGGAAACAGTTTTGGTTAAGTTGTTTACCTCACTTTCACCATTGTGTTGCTTCAATGCTAGAAAGCTGAAAAATCAGCTATGGCTGCTGATAATACATCAAGCGTTCACCTTTTCACTGTGTTCTGAAGTTAGATCATGTAAACACAGTATAATATAAAATGTCTATTAACTACTACTCAGTCTCTACTCTAGCACTTGTGCCCTAAAATCCCACAATGCATTGCTGACATCAGGTTCCCGTTCTCTAAACGATGATTTTCACGTGAGGGTCAAAGCATGCCATGACTCTTGTTTTGAGACGTGTTAAAGCCCTGATGCAAGTAATTTTAAACCAGATAATTTTTTGTCCCAGATAAATAATGTTGATTTGTTAAATTAATTATACATTAAATTTACATGTTTCCCAATCCAGGTCCTGTTGTACCCCAACTCTCTAATAAAACACACCTGATTCAAAGAGACTTCAAGACCAGTTGGGAGAGACATCCAAAATATGTACTGTTGGGGTGTACTCCGGGACCAGGTTTGGGAACCACTGCATAAATGTATTTGGCAGGCACTTTTATCCAAAGCAACTTATTGCATTCACAGTGTGTATACATTTCCCCAGTTCATGCACTCCCTAGGAATCAAACCCATGACCTTGGCTTTGTTCCACGCTCAACTGTTTGACCTCCAAGAACATTACATAATTTACTGTAAATAGCTTCAATGTAGTTAACTGTCATTCCTACCATGCAGTGCATTTTCATGTTCTATCATGTTTTAATTACTTGTGAAATAGAGTGAAAATAAGAGGTGTATTCTATCACATTCATTTTACTTTAATTTGAGAGGATGTTGCAATTTGTATGTCCCCTGGTACTGCTCTAATTTCTATAATAAAACACCTATTCATTTATTAACTTATATATTTTAACCGTCATTTCGCATGTTATGTTATTCCATCATTTATCGAACAGGATATTTTACAGACAGATCAACTGACAGCATGCAAATCACATAATTCAGATCAGCAGGTCATCACAGATCAGGTGGTAATAGTTGTTTATACTTTTGTTTTCCTATTTAAAATGTGCGAATTGAGTGAAAGTAGAGCTGCCCGATTAATCGGAATTAAACTGGAATCGTGATATTTTTTTCATGCGCAGCTTGTCAGTGAAGCACTGTTCTGTGATCAGTAGTAAATTCTGCTCCATCCGAAGGCCAAAGGGCGCTCTTGTGCTGAAACTCCAAATATACCTCGCAGAAGTAAGGTAATGTCGCAGAAGTAAGGTAATGTATGTCGTTCCTGGACATGACAGCATGCAAATCACATAATTCAGATCAGCAGGTCATCACAGATCAGGTGGTAATAGTTGTTTATACTTTTGTTTTCCTATTTAAAATGTGCGAATTGAGTGAAAGTAGAGCTGCCCGATTAATCGGAATTAAACTGGAATCGTGATATTTTTTTCATGCGCAGCTTGTCAGTGAAGCACTGTTCTGTGATCGGTAGTAAATTCTGCTCCATCCGAAGGCCAAAGGGCGCTCTTGTGCTGAAACTCCAAATATGCCTAGGTAATGCATGTCGTTCCTGGACAGATTGAACTTCATTCGACGCATGAAAATAGCCACAGAAGCTGGCATGGCGTTAAACACAAACAAACATTAATTCAACGTGACTTAACACATGACTATAACAATAAACGTTTTATCTGAGTTCTTCAAGCCTTCTCATGTATTTTCTTTATAATAAAGTATATGCATAATGCAATGCTAATCGTCATAGCCTTTATCACTGCCTAGAATACTATGAAATAATATGTTACGTGCCTCATTCTGTGTTAGAAGCCACATCATCTCGCAAAAGGATTTTATTTCAAACACTCGACTGATGTTATGGAGTGAGTTTGAAGTAAAAACGTTATTAAATGTTGTCCTTTGGACAAAAGGTTCATAAATGCTTCTCATGTTCAGAAAGATGTTGTTTTTTCAAATGCACATTATAACTGACTCAATCATTTACTACTCAAGCATTTACTACTGATCACAGAGCCGTACTTCACTGACAAGCCGCACATAACAGCTTTCGCGATTTCATAATCACACAAGACCAAACAATTTAATCACGATTTTGATTCGATTTCAGTTAACTTATTGCAGCTCTAAGTGACAGATTCTATTACTTATTTATAAAGACAGTAACTTGTTGCCACCTGCTGGTGTAGCGGTGTAACCTGCAGAAAGAGGAAAATTCCTCCTACCAGTGGAGGGATACACGCAGTGAAAAGTCCTAGTGCTGTTGGACTGTATATCAGCACTCTTGGACAAATTCAATATAATGTGTCGAAATAATGATCCAGATATAATGAGGACATTCAGTGTGCTGCATAACAGGAATGACCCATATGTTAACTTTTTTCTTTCTATTTAGTTTTAGTTACAAAGTTGAACTATAGGAATGACCAGAATGACCCAGCTACTTTTTTGATAACTTGTGGTGGACTGCAGATAATTACTTTATCAAGCCTGCTTGCCTTGTCTGTAGTAAACTACTTTAAGTCATGAGAGGCTTGTTAGGCGGCTTGGCAAACCACAGTGTCAGAGAGGCTTCCTCAACACGTTTTTCCCCTCTGCCTCAATAACACAACTTGCCCTCTGTGGTGTTGCAGCCAGACACATGCATTTCATTTTGTAGCCACTGCTAATACTCATACTCGACACTTGTTGCCCACTCTCCG